AAATCCCGAATCCCGCATTCCTGCTCCGTGCGGGGTCCCCAAATCCCGAATCCCGCATTCCTGCTCCATGTGAGGTACTCCAGAATCCCACATCCCGCATTCCTGCTCCGTGAGGGGTCCCAAAATCCCGAATCCCGAATCCCAAATCCCTGCTCTGTGTAAATCCCAATTCCCCTCAGATCCCAAATCCCGGCTCCGTGTAAATCCCAATTCCCTTCACATCCCAAATTCCCGCTCTGTGTGAATCCCAATTCCCCTCAGATCCCAAACCCCCGCTCCGTGTGAATCCCAATTCCCCTCACATCCCAATTCCCCTCAGATCCCAAACCCCCGCTCGTGCGGGTCCCAATTCCCTTCACATCCCAAATTCCCGCTCTGTGTGAATCCCAATTCCCCTCACATCCCAAATTCCCTCTCCGTGTGAATCCCAATTCCCCTCACATCCCAAATTCCCGCTCCGTGTGAATCCCAATTCCCCTCAGATCCCAAATTCCCTCTCTGTGTGAATCCCAATTCCCCTCACATCCCAATTCCCCTCAGATCCCAAACCCCCGCTCGTGCGGGTCCCACGGCTCCTCCCAAACCCCAAATCCCGCAGCCCCAGCTGTCCGCAGCCCCGGCCCGGCGCTCACCGCAGAACAGCGGGTCCTGCACGAGGCCGATGCTGCCGGTGAGGATGAGGAGGGACACGAGGCCGAGGAGCAGCAGGAGCAGCGCCGGGGCCGGGGCCGGGGGGCTGCGGGNCGCTCCGTGCGGGTCCCGATTCCCCTCACATCCCAAATTCCCGCTCCGTGTGAATCCCAATTCCCCTCACATCCCAAATTCCCGCTCTGTGTGAATCCCAATTCCCCTCACATCCCAATTCCCCTCACATCCCAATTCCCCTCAGATCCCAAATTCCCGCTCCGTGTGAATCCCAATTCCCCACAGATCCCAAATTCCCGCTCCGTGTGAATCCCAATTCCCCTCAGATCCCAAATTCCCGCTCCGTGTGAATCCCAATTCCCCTCACATCCCAATTCCCCTCAGATCCCAAACCCCCGCCCGCGCGGGTCCCAATTCCCTTCACATCCCGATTCCCCTCAGATCCCAAACCCCCGCTCCGTGTGAATCCCAATTCCCCTCACATCCCGATTCCCCTCAGATCCCAAATTCCCTCTCTGTGTGAATCCCAATTCCCCTCAGATCCCAAACCCCCGCTCGTGCGGGTCCCACGGCTCCTCCCAAACCCCAAATCCCGCAGCCCCAGCTGTCCGCAGCCCCGGCCCGGCGCTCACCGCAGAACAGCGGGTCCTGCACGAGGCCGATGCTGCCGGTGAGGATGAGGAGGGACACGAGGCCGAGGAGCAGCAGGAGCAGCGCCGGGGCCGGGGCCGGGGGGCTGCGGGACCGACCGGGGCTGCAGCACCGGCCCGGCCCCGCCGGGCTTTGGGGTCAGGGTCCCGACCCCGCTGGGGTCTCTCACGGTCCCCACTCCCCATTCCCGGGGGTCTCTCCCGGTGCCGGGGTCTCTCCCGGTCCCCATTCCCCGGTCCCGGGGTCTCTCCCGGTCCCACTCCCCATTCCCGGTCCCCACTCCCCATTCCCGGGGGTCTCTCCCCGTTCCCGGGGGTCTCTCCCGGTGCCGGGGTCTCTCCCGGTCCCCATTCCCCATTCCCGGGGTCTCTCTCGTTCCCGGGGTCTCTCCCCATTCCCGGGGGTCTCTCCCGTTCCCGGGGGTCTCTCCCCGCTCCCGGGGGTCTCTCCCCATTCCCGGGGGTCTCTCCCCGTTCCCGGGGGTCTCTCCCCATTCCCCGGGGTCTCTCCCGGTCCCGGGGGTCTCTCCGGTCCCCATTCCCCATTCCCGGGGTCTCTCCCGGTCCCGGGGTCTCTCCCCATTCCCGGGGGTCTCTCCCCGTTCCCGGGGGTCTCTCCCGGTCCCGGGGTCTCTCCCCATTCCCGGGGGTCTCTCCCGGTCCCGGGGGTCTCTCCGGTCCCCACTCACTCCAGGCAGGTGACAGCGCTGACACCGAAGGCCACCGGGAGGGCGAGCAGGGGGGCGGCCAGGGCGGCCGG